CCCGCCACGCTGCTTTTGCATCTGTTGATGGTTAAGGGCCTGGGCCTCCCTTTGCACTCGGGGCCTGCTCCTCCTAATGTGTGAGCCCCACTTTCTCCAGCTCTAAAATAGAATAGTGCCAGCCTTTACTGTATTAGTGTGAGAGGTAAACCGGCGTTTGGAAAGGTTTAGCAATAGTGGCTCACTAAATGGCCACCGTTATTAATAATACCAATACTAAAATTAATAGTGACATCAGCTCCTCTCTCTGTCTCTCTCTCGCTTCTGACCAGACTATAGGGTACGACCCCATCATTTCGCCGGAAGTCTCGGCCTCCTTTGGTGTTGAGCAGCTGCCCCTGGAGGAGATCTGGCCTCTCTGTGATTTTATCACTGTGCACACACCTCTCCTGCCCTCCACCACGGGTACGTGTGTCCCTGCTGATGGGTTGGCCTCAGAAGCCACAGACCGGATCAGGGTGGGCCCTCCGTCTGGCCCTTCTGTAGACGCTGGTGACCAGGTCCCTCGGGCATGGCGTACGGTGATGCTTTGTTAGCCAGCCCTGCATCACATGGAGCAGGGGTGAGCTAGCTGAAAATGCACGGTATGAACTGGGTCAAAATGTCCGACCAGTGATCTCACAGTGTTTTCCTGGGGCCACTGCTGGCCTTTCTGGTTCTGGGGCCTGCTCAATGCACAAATACCTCAGGCAGTACTCGGATGTTTCTAAACTGAGTTAGGCCTAAGTCTGGAACAGAGACTTTTGCCCCAGAGCGTCCGAGAAGGGAGAGGTGAGACCAGAGAAGCTGTCGCCCTGCTGGAAGGAGGCCAGCGGGGAAGGAGCTGGTGGGCAAGGGGAGGCCTGGTACTGGTGCCTGGATGCCAAGCACCGGCGCTGCAGTAAATCTCCTCCCTCCTCGCAGGCTTGCTGAATGACAGCACCTTTGCCCAGTGCAAGAAGGGGGTGCGTGTGGTGAACTGCGCTCGGGGAGGGATCGTGGACGAGGGCGCCCTGCTCCGGGCCCTGCAGTCGGGTCAGTGTGCTGGTGCTGCACTGGACGTGTTTACGGAGGTGAGTGCCTGGCAGAGGACAGGAGCGGTGAGCAGAGGGGCCCCGGGCAGAGAGCCCGGCAGGCACAGAAGCCTTTGGCTTAGGGTCTCTAGCACCTGTGGTAAACGGGACAAATTGTGTTGCCACAGATCATGCCCTTGTGATCTGAGGAGCCCTTGCAGAGCTTACTACAGAGACAGCCATGTTGTTTTTTGCAAAACTCAGATGTTAAATAGGACCCAATTCCTGGTTGCAGGCGCCCTCCACTGCTGCCATGTGGATAACTTCTGGGGAGACGGCGCCACAAATGAGTTCTGAGGTCGAGGACCTGGGGCAGAGAGAGGTCACTTGGGGCAGGGTGCAATGTATTGGCGCAGGTCTCTGATGAAATGAATCCCATTGCCAAGAAGACGTTCCACCCAGTGTCCATTGGCTTATCCTCTCTTCAGGGAAGGAAACGAAGCCTGAGAATAATGGCCAGAAGTGTCCCCCTGGTCCCGAGCATGGGCTGCTCTTTCTGTCTCTCCACGGGAGAGCTGGAATGATGGATAGGGCATTTCCACTTGGATGCTGTTGGCCTCTCTCAAAAGCCCTGCCACCAGCATCAGAGATCCGGGAGAAAGAGCAGGGATTTTGGATTAGGCAGCTGGGGGTTGCTGGTTACTTGCGGTGGGGCCTTGGCGGGTCCCCAGCCCTCTCTGAGCCCTGGAGCACTCACTTCGTCTTCCCTGCCCAGGGACACAGTGCCTTGGGTTGGTACTCCCGGTCATCTTAACCAGACGGTAAGCTTCTCGAAGGCAGACTCACGCCTGGCCATCCCCCAGCCCAGCACCTTCCTCTTGCTGTCTTTGGCCTCCTCATGGCACTTGCTAATATGTGGACAGCACTCACAGGCCCAAGCGGCCAGACAAGAGACCTGAGTGATGTTCCCAAAGGCAGTGCGTTGTGCTCAGTGAGCCGAAGGGTGGGAGGGACACTGGAGGGTGGGCAGAGGGGCTCGGGTGGACCGCCGGTTGTGGTGACAGCCAGGATGTGACACCTGTGCAGAGAGCCTACTGTGTGAAGAGCTGACAGTCCGTGCTGCACGGATTCAGGGGAAAAACCAGTAACAGCAACACTGGCTGACAGCCTCCTGAGTTACTGGCACATAATCTGCACAGCGGTGTTACCGGATGGCTGGTATTAGCCCATCTTATAGATGATGAAACCAAGGCTCAGAGAAGTAGGCGGAGATTTACCTGAAGGCGCATAAACGGTGGAGCTGAGATGCAAATCCCATCCATCCTTCTGTCCACTCTGCCGTGGTGGGACATTAATGAGGAAGCCGGGCCTGGAGACCAGCGACCTGGCAAGACTGAAGTAGAAGGCGTCGTCACCCCTGCCCTTCTCTCTGGTTTCCCTGGGCAGCCAACCAAGAGGTGTCTCTTTCTGGGTAGGAGCCACCGAAGGACCGCGCCTTGGTGGACCACGAGAGCGTCATCAGCTGCCCCCACCTGGGTGCCAGCACCAAGGAGGCCCAGAGCCGCTGCGGGGAGGAGATTGCCATCCAGTTTGTGGACATGGTGAAGGGGAAGTCCCTGGCGGGGGTGGTAAGTATGGCCAAGTGGGGCGGGAGCCCAGGGTTCAGGGGGAGGAGCAGGAGCGGGGCATCTGGTTTTGGGGAGTGGTGATAGGTCCTGTGAACAGTAGTGTGCCGATCTGATTCTGCTCTGGGAGCAGATAAGGAGTCCCCTGAGCCAGGCCTGTGGGTGGGGTGGCAGGAGCCGCCCTGTCCCAGCCTTGGTAGCTACAGCCGGGCCGTGGGGACCCGGCTCGGCACTGCTATATTGTAGCCTTGCTGCTGAGATTGCTGCTCTTCCCAGGGTCTGGGCTCTGGAGAAACGCTCCTTTGTTCTCCACAAGCCTTGGGAATGAAGGAGTGTGGCCTGGGTGATGCTGGATGATGCTGGATGCCGTGGAGAGTGGCAGCTGGGGGACCGGCCGGTGGAGAAGCTTGTCAGGGTCCTCTCTCACCTCCAAGGCCTGAGTGCTCCTTGTCCCATGTCCACCTTAGAACCCTGGGCGGGACGAGTCCCCAGTCCCAGAATGAACCCCCCCAAGCCCCCTCTGTTTCCCCAAATCATGGCCTGGTGTCCCTACTTCCTCTCTTAGCTCATACTCAGCCCTTCCTGGCACATTTTGCCTCCAAGCTTAACTTACTTAACTTACTTCCAGTCCTGTCTCAATCATTCAGTCTTTGGATGTCCCTTAAGCTCCAGTGGGTACCAGAATCTGTCCTAACCCTCTGGGGACACCGATGACTAAGGAAGGCATAGCTCTCTTTCAGGGGGGCTTGCCACCCCTTCACAAAGACTTGCTTGACCTTTCCAGTCCAGTTTCAACCCATTGGCAATGGACCATATTCTCCCTTGTTAAGATCTCATGAGTTTATATCTTTAAGTTTATCTCCCTCCAGAAGGGAGCCAAGGCTGGTCCCCGACCTTCCTGGTTGAGCCTCAGCCTGGGGATTTTCACAGCCGAGGACGGAACCATAGCAGGAGAGACACAGGATGCTTTGTTCAGCCCGCCAGCCCTGGTTTGATAGCCCAGCTTTCTGGGCCACCCTGCCGTCTACACCTTGAGGGAGTAAGGGAGCCAGCTGCTCCCCTGAAGGACCGACCCCATCCCCCGCCCTCAGGGCCAGCCTGGTGGTCAGCGACCACACTTGGCCAGCCCATCTGTGTGCCTCTCCCCTATGTATTCTGCGTCACTTGGCTCCCCAGAGTGGGGGGCACTTTCTCCCTTTGCACATCTAGTTTCTGAGCAGGTCCCCCCAGGTGATGCGCTGGGACCTGGGCTGAGGCCTGGGCAGTGGCCAGTATCCACCAACTGGGGCCGGGCTTTTCCATGCGTCTGCCCACCTGTCACAGCCCTTCGGAGTTCCCATGGTGTCATTAGGTCATGGTGGCATTCCAGGCCTTTTCATGCTGGGGGCTCCTTACCACCAGCTCCATCAAATGGAACCACAAGCTATTCCCATCTTATATCAGAGGTAAACTCTCTTGGTCAAAGTAAACTTGGGCAAATTTTTTTTTTTTAATTATTTTTAATGTTTATTTATTTTTGAGAGAGACAGAGCGCAAGGCTGGAAGGGACCGAAAGAGAAAAAGACACAGAATCCGAAGCAGGCTCCAGGCTCTGAACTGTCAGCACAGAGCCCGATGTGGGGCTCAAACCCACGAACTGTGAGATTGTGACCTGAGCCAAAGTCTGAGGCTTAACCAAATGAATCACCCGGGTGCCCCTAGACTTGGGAAAATTTAAGTCTCACGCAAAGCGGCTGGCTGTCCTGCGGTAGGCTTTTGGAAAGAAAGACATTTGTGTCACATGGGAAATCTCTCCCCGTGCGTCCACTTCAGTTTCGTTCTGTCCTAACCTTAGACACAGACTAACAGTAGGGTCAGGCGCCTGACTCTTGGAGCCCTCCCGCTTGTTCTGTGACCCTGCAAGGAGCACCCCCGGGTTGGGTTCCGCAGGGGCTGCCCAGAGGACACTTTCCTCCACGTCCTGCAAGCTCAGCCCAGCCCACTGGCGGGTGGCACTTCCACTCTGCTCCTGGCCACTGGGCCTGCCTCGTCCCACCTCCTGGTTCACTGCTGCTCTTTTCTGTGTCCCTTGGAGAGGAGCAGGGAAACCCCGCCACAGAGCCCTCAAGCCAGGATGCCGCCCGCGCAGAAGGGTCTGGTGGGAAGCTCTGCCCCCCTGGCTATTTCCAACATCAGCAGCCTGTTTGATTTGGATCAAACCCCAGGTTTCAAATTAAATCCTTCTTCAATTCTTTGGTTCTCTTTACACGTTGAGTCACCAAAGTGGCCAATGCTTAATTTCAGAGCCAGACCATCTTTTTTCTTTTTTTCTTTTTTCTCTTCTCTTTTCTTTTCTTTTCTTTTCTTCTTTTAAGTTTATTTATTTATTTTGAGAGAGAGTGCACACGCAGGGAAAGGACAGAGAGAGAGGGAGAGAGAGCATCCCAAGCAGGCTCTGTGTTGTCAGCACAAAGCCCTACACAGGGCTCAAACTCACACACCATGAGATCAGGACCTGAGCTGAAATTAAGAGTCAAATGCTTATCCAACTGAGCCACCCAGGTGCCTCACCCTTTTTTTGGGGTAGAGTTTATTTACAGAGCCAGACCATCTTGAGCCACAAAATGGAATCAAAGTTCTGACCCAGGACAAGCTGGCTTTGTTACCAAGTACCTGGTTGGGGGTCCAGACCTACCCTAGACTTCTACCTTTAAAAAAATTTTTTTTTAACATTTATTTATTTTTGATAGAGAGAGAGAGAGACAGAGCACAGCAGGGGAGGGGCAGAGAGAGAGGGAGACACAGAATCTGAAGCAGGCTCCAGGCTCTGAGCTGTCAGCACAGAGCCAGGCATGGGGCTCGAACTCATGAACCACAAGATCATGACCTGAGCCGAAGTCAGATGCTTAACTGCCTGAGCCACCCAGGTGCCCCTAGACTTCTACCTTTAGAAGGACACATGGCTTTTGCCCCCTTTAGATGCCCAGGTTGCCTTGTGGTGGGCCAACGTTTGAAAGGTGATAAGATCATCAAGAGTATGTGAATTCAACTTCACAAATTGTGATATTTGGTCAAAGTGATTAATGACCATGTACACACTCACTTTTTTAATTGAGGTATAAAGTAAACAGGAAGGCATCCTGGAACAACCTACCACTCTAGGTCCAAGTGATCTGTGACTTGCCATACAGCTTACGTCAAAGACCCACCTTCCTACTGTGCCGTCCGGACCCTTCCCCAGCACAGGAAAGACCAGTCTCCCACGGCGGGGGGGTGAGGCTGGCACTGTTCAGGGACGGAGACATTCCTTTATCCCCCTTCTGGAGATTTGGAATGGTCTTAGCCTTTTGTGTGCTTTTCTGGCTCTACAGCAATCCCCAGCAAGTTATTGTCTTGGTGGCTGATGGAAGTTGCCTTCCCTCCCAGCCCCTCAGGCACACGAAGCAAGGATGGGTCTGTGCCTTTTGCTGTCTACGTGGAGCTGTGGTTGGTAGCCGAGATGGGCAGACGTTTGCCCCTTCTTTTCCTGACCTTAGCTCTGCTCCCCTTTCTGTGCAGGTGAACGCCCAGGCCCTTACCAGTGCCTTCTCTCCACACACCAAGCCTTGGATTGGTCTGGCAGAAGCTCTGGGGGCACTGATGCGAGCCTGGGCTGGATCCCCCAAAGGGACCATCCAGGTGGTAACACAGGGTGAGCTGGGGACACTGCAGAGGGAGGGGAAGAGGGTTGTGTGTGCAGCAGTTCAGCGACAGTGAGGGACTGGGAAGCAACTTGACCTGGTCTTGTGACCCCATGCCCCACGTTATGTCCGCATATGGCTCACTTGCTACCCAGTGGGGAAAGGGGAGGGGCGCAGAAAAATCACTGGGAAATACATGTGATTTTCACAAGTCACGTTTATATAGTATTTTTAAGATGTAGGTGTTCTGGGTGCCAGAGAAACCTCCACAAGAGACAGAGTTTCACATGAGAGGCCACAGGATTGGTGGAGGGAGTCCCAGATTAAGCGACAGGACCTTTGATTCTGGGTTTGGCCCTGTCGCTTACCTGCTGTGTGACTTTCCTTTCTCTGAGCCTTGGGTTCTTGAAAAGTGAGAGTTGGGGTGGGCGTGCTAGATGAGGCGGTGGGACAGTTCGGGCTCTGTGACATAGTAAGTTGGGTCCTCGGGCAAGCCGATGGCCCTGGGGAGCAGTTGATCAGCTGGGGAGTGGGCATGAGGACAGTACTTGAGGTCTGCCCTCAGGCTCCAGCCACTTTTGCAGTGGGTCCAGCTTGTGCGGATGTGGTGAGAGATGGGGGAGGAGTCTAGCTCCCCAAACCCTTCTGAAGCTTGCCCCCCACTATGGCCTGCTATGCATCTGCTCACTTGGGGAGAGCTCGGGGGTGGTTAGACCCTGAGCACTGCCAGTAATAGGCAAGGTCAGAGCCAGGGGATCCCCAGAGAAAACAATGCGGGGAACTGGGTGGCAGTTACTGGCTCTCTGCCCTCCAGAGGGAAGCAGAACTGCCCCCGGCAGGGTGGGGGGTGGGGGGGACAGGGCAGCGAGGAGGCCGCGACCCAAAGCTAGGCGCCAGTGGTTTCCGGCCCGCGGCTCCTGTGTTGTTCACCAAACAGTGATCTTATGATAACTTCTCCGTCCCCAGGAACCTCCCTGAAGAATGCTGGGAACTGCCTGAGCCCCGCGGTCATTGTCGGCCTCCTCAAAGACACTTCCAATCAGGCGGATGTGAACTTGGTGAACGCCAAGCTGCTGGTGAAAGAGGCTGGCCTCAATGTGTGTGCCCCTCGCCCCCCCTTTCCTTTCCCTCTGGGCCCTGCCCTTCTCTCCCTACCTTTCCAGAATATGCTTACAGCCCCACTCATTGAGTGGGAGCCCCGAGTGTAGGCCCCGTCGTTGACACTGACCGTCTGTGATAGGCAGCCATCGTTTCTCTGTCCGCCTGCCTCTGAGTGTTGCTGAGTGAACCTAGCACTCCTGATAGTGCTTTGTGTATAAGTGCCCCATGAGAATGGGAGGCCGGAGCAGCACCCCTATTTTACAGCTGAGGAAGACGAGGGGCCAGGCTGCATCTGGCTGGAGGCTGGGAGGTAGACCAGCAGTCTCTGACTCCTCTTACCATAGCACCCAGTTTCTTTCTTTCTTTCTTTCTTTCTTTCTTTCTTTCTTTCTTTCTTTCTTTCTTTTTTTAATTTTTTTTTTAACATTTGTTTATTTTCAAGAGACAGAGTGCCAGGCGGGGAGCGGCAGAGAGAGAGGGAGACAAAGAATCCCAAGCAGGCTCCAGGCAATCTTACCCTCTCTGACTCTGCCCTAACTTCCCTTTGTCCCTCCAGAAAGCAGAGTGGAACTCCAGACCTTTGTTTTAACCAATGGAAATAGGCTGGGTGTTGAGGCAGGAGTTGAGTAGCTCACCCGTGGCGCCCACCCGTCCTAGGGTAGCCTGAGACTGCTGAAACAGAAACTGTAAGGAAGAATTAAATAACCAGCTGTCTGTTATTTGATAGAAGATGCAGGTGGCAGCCTTTGATGGAAAATAAAATAGAAAATCCTTAGCGGAACTGTAATGAACCTGATGTCTTCAGGTAGGCTCAATACTACGACCGTTATCCCTGGGGCCTGAGGATTGGCTCTGACTTCTTACATGCCTAGAGTCACTTGGTGGTTAGTGGAATCAAGAACATAAGCCAGGTCTGGCTGGAGACAGAAATCCCAGGGCTCCCCTGTCCAGGCCTAAGCTGGTAGGATTTCCCTCTGCTCCTCCCTTGACCCCCCCTGGGTGTCTCTGTACCTGAGCTCAGACCCAGACTGAGGCTGCATTTGGGAATGACTGAGGCGGCCGGTCAGACCTCCGCCCTGCCTTCTGCATTGGGCTGAGCCTGTGTCTGTCCTTGCAGGCCAAGGTTCCCACAGGCCACGAGAAAGCCCCATGAGAAGGGCGGCAAATGGGAGCGGAAGAAGGCAGGCAGCCGGGTCTGCCCGCCCTGCCTGGCTTTCCGATTGCCTGGGGTCCACTCTGCCGCTCACTTTGGCTTCCTTGCCCTTGCTTTGCTTGTTTGCTTGCAGTTCATGGAACAGAGCTAAATGGAAAGATCCTGGGAATTCTGCTTGGCCTGGGCAGGATGGAAGAGGTAGCCACTTGAATACAGTCACTTTGGGATGAAGAGTAAAGAAGCTGGCGAACCCCTTGGGCGTGGGGCTCTCTGTAGCAGATTTTGGGAAAGGCAGCCTTTCGAGAGAAGGTAAAGGTTTTTCCTAGGAAACTCCCTGATACCTCTGGTAGAGCCCCTGACTAGAAATGAGCAATAGCCGGGAGGAGCGTTGGCCTGCCATTCTGGATACTGACCTCAAAATCTGAATAACTTGGTGCAGGCCACTCCCAGCTCTAGGGGAGGTAATTGCCCTGAGTCCCCGTGGAGCAGAGGATCCACAAGTGTCCTGCCCTTTTCCTCCCCTGCCACGAGGCTGGATTGATGCTGCGTGTCTGTTCCCTGGGATAATTTAAGAAAACAGGAGCAAATCTGGAGCCTTCTAGCAAAGCAGCTGTCATCCACTGGCTGGCTCCACTCCGTAGTGCAGAAGAGGGCCATGGCGTGCTTCCGTGTATGCCCCGTATTTAATGTTAAAGCCTCAGTGGCTGAGGCCGCGACATATTTCTCAGAATTCTTCCCTGACCCCCGATCTCCCTCAGGACCTGCTTTATCCCACTCTACAGAACTCAGTGGTTCTGGCGGGGCTGTCATTAAGAGCAGTGCCACCCCCTGAGGCCGGTCGGGAGGGCCACCATGAGAAGGGCAGCTGAGCTCCCATAGGAGGAGGCACCTGCAGGGGCCAGGGGACTATGAGCAGCTCAGGTGCTAGCTGACGTCTCATATTCACGAGGGCTGTGGGAGGATCGTGTGTTGAGACTGCAGCCAGGAAGGTAAACATAAGGAAAACAAGTTTTGTAAAACCAGATCATTTCTAGAAAATTTTTTTCATAGACCTCACTATGGCATTCTCCCTTTCTCCTCTTCTTCCTCCCTTTCTTGTGTCCTTCCCACACAGCCTCCCCACTTCACAGGATTAGAAGGAACCTTATAGATTAACCCTTGCTTTTATGCTGATGTCTGGAGTTTACATATGTGTTGCTAGAGACTTCCTGGGCAGGTAGACAAAGACAGACAGGTGCCCCATCATGCCCGCATTGAACATCTTCTCCTCCTCCCTGCTCTTCTTACCACATTTATTCATGCCAACCAGACATCTTCAAGCCACGGCGTTTTTCAAGATCCCTGGCCCAGCAGGATCCACACTAGTCATGAGAACAAACCAAAGCCATCACTTTTGGTGCAGGGCAGCAGTGCCATGCGCTGAAAGGTGTGCTTTCTCCTCCCTCTCTTTGTGAGGATTAGCATGGGGCTCTGCTCAGCAGTCAGGGCTTCTGTGGAGTGCTTCACTTGGGAGTTCTTCTGTCGGGATGTCTCTGGAGGGGTCACTGTCGGCTGTCTTGCTTTGGGACATGATCTTTGGAAACCTAGAGCATCCCTTGGAATGGTCATTTCCCCACCCCTCCACCCTTGCCAGCCTGGTCATTTGAATTGGCCCAGGTGGCCTTTGTTTACTCTTCACTTTAGTAGACTTCCTAACATATTCGAGCCCAGGTGAGTTTTACGGGCAGACAGATTACTGACCCGCTTGGTCAGATCTGCTAGGTTGATGTGGCTGCAAAGGCAAAGACCTCAAAAGAGGCGAGGAGAGGAGGATGATTGAACAAATTGTGAAAAGGGATGGGTTTGCTCGGCATCAGAGAGAGAAACAATGATCGAGTGTTTGTACGCAAATTATTTTTCCATTGGCCTTGTTCTGCCTTTGGAAACCAACTGATAAACTGATGGATGGTAGAATCCCCAGATGTCTTGTACCTGGGGGGGTTTAGATTTTATTTTAGTTAGATAATAGGTGATGCCTTCTCACAAAACTGACTTCTAGATCCTTATCTCATGGGTACCACCCCAATCCTTGTCTCACAGGTAACATCACTTTTAGCGTGTCACCTTGGTTTTCGCGTTGCAGATGCATACAGTTCTTTGCCTACAAGTTCTGTACTTGCTTGAGAATAGACTGTTATACATGCTGCCAACATAAAATGTATGTCTTGTAATAAATACATTTACCATATTTTAAACTATTGCGTGGAATTCTGTTGTGTAGACAAATAGCCTTTTATTTAGCCACTTCCTCAAGGATAGACATTTAGATGGTTTGGAAATCGCGGACGTCAGTAAAGGCGTTTAGGTGAGGTCATGATACCCTTGGGATTAAGATGGAAAGCATTAATTTGGTGCTTCAAGGCTTTAGTAGCTGGTTGAGCATAGCCCTGTCTCCATCTGGAGGAGATGGTCAGGATGGTGAAGGGCTCTCTGCCTTCTCCACCTTTTCCTGTGGCCTGGATGATGACAGGGAAGCAGGGAGAGGTGAGGTTGAATTCTCAAGGGTGTGGAATGAGAGCCTAAAAAACGTAAGAGGCTAGAGAATGCTAGTTGGGCATCCTAACAGGAAGTCTGGCTAGAATACAGTGCCCTACACATGGTCCCCAAACAACTGAACATATGTGGAGTAGAGGGTGTTGTTAAAAAGCTTTATGTAGGGGAGACCTTTGGTTGACAGAAATACAGTGTACAGTTAAAAGTGGCATGTAGCTGATAGAGGAAGGTCTGTGATTTGGCAGCATTAAAAAAAAACTTTATAGCTATAAGGAAGGTGACATTCTCATGCTCTGTACCAGTCAGACTCTGAAGTATTGTGAACCCAAGCTCTACTTGAGACTGAAAGTTCTGGAGATGGAAGGTGATGGTGTGAAAGTTCTTGTCTATGCTTCCCAGTAGAGGGTTGAAGGCACTTGGGTCACTAAGGCCCCATGTCGTGACTTAGGAGGCTGGGGAGGCTGCGCCCAATAAGCTAACGGGCAGTCTGTAGAAAGTATTGCTCAAGCAGTGGATCCACAGGAGGACCAGGAGGTGCAAGCCGGGGAACAGGCTACAGCCAGAGCTGGCCCCAGGTGGAAGGGAGGGAGTCAAGTCTCCACTACTGCAGATATACCTGTGAGACTGGTTGGAGTACTTGGCCGGCATGTGTGGGCCAGAAGTGTATGCATTAGCAGATGTATGACAGAGCGGCCTTTAAAACTCTAGTATCTCAGGCACCCCTTACTCCATGGGCTACAAGTTTCTTTATCTGTGGAGTGGTCGCCCAGGGGAGTTCTTTTGTGCGATGGGTGGAAATAGAATAAAACTAACAGAGGCTGTGGTTTGTTACAGTAGCTTGGTACACTGTGGTTGAAGACAAGTGGACCAGGGGTAGGAGGGGCTGAGGAGTCCTGGTTAGGCGGCTCCAGACAGCTTCGGCTGAGCATTATTATCTTTATCACCCCTCCCCTCGAGATTCTTACCCAGGCTTTAATCTGTCACCGAGGCTGTTAATCACTAATAGAGGCTGGTAATGGATGACTAACATCCAACCCTTCCACAGTATCATGATTTAAAGGGATTTGACCCCTTCGTATCTGGGAGGGTTGGCAGAGACCACTTTTGTGCTCAGGTCTTAGGGCTGCCCCCCAGCTCTTTCCTTTCTCTTTTGTCCTCGCTATCTGGTCACTCAGGGATATGTGCTGGACCTTAGCTCACCATGAGGGACTTCCCAGCAGCACCTGGTTGAGTGTGTGTTGGGGGGGAGAGCCCTTCTATGCTGTCGTTTAGCGAGCACAGGCCTGGAAGGAACCTTCCCGGGCCAGCTGAGGAGGCAGCTGCTGACTGGCTCTGGGCCTCATGGCACAGATGTGTGTTGGGATAATTCCTACTAGCAGCGGTACTGGTGGTCTGGTCATCTGAATCAGGCTCCATGGCATTCTTTCTGCCTGAAGATTTTTTCCCCAACCGTGCGAATCACAGGTTGTGGCCCGGAGACATTCACGCTGGCGTGTCCCTAGAATGTGTGATCAGACCCAAGCCCTGCCAGGAGGCTGAGCCTTGCACTCTCTTACAAGGTTTTCCTGAGGAGCAGGAATAAGCATCTCTTGACAGTTGCACAATGCGGCCAATGTGCGTGATAGATCTGAAGTTGGCAGAGGGGTGTGAACCCAGAAGCTACAGCTCTCTCACTGAAGTTCATTCCAGACCCAGCTAATGTTTACTGAGGTCTGCCTGGTCAGATACTGTGCTCACGGTGACCCCTGAGTCAATATTATCATCCCAGTTTTACAGATAAAGGCTGAGGCCCAGGAAGGCTGTATGATAATGCTACCGAATGGACAAGTAAATGGTGGAGTCAGCTGAAACTCCCAAGAGTTTCCTGACTTCCAGTCTGGTGCTGTCGTGCACCAGCATGCGGTCTTCCAGTCCCAATCTGCACCCGGCGCTGCATGGTGCATGATCCATGCCGTGTCTCTGTGCTCCTCCTTTCTCAGGACAAAGCCTCCCGAGGCAGGCAGCTCCTATCTCAGTCTGGTAACTGCAGTTCCTGCTGCCCTAGAATACTGATTTCAAGTTCTTTGTTACAGAAGTTTCCAGAAGGTGCCTTAGGGACACAGAGACCTCAGGGAGACAGTAGGTGGTGGGGCTCTGGAGCTTCACGCCTGCAGCCTTGGTCAGTTTTATGTGGGTTTCTGGTAAGATTTCATTGTCCAAGGGGAAAGTTCTAATCTAAAAAACTAAAAGAATTGGCTGTGGGGTAGAAGGGGTATGGCCAGGGGAGGGCACCTTTCCTTTGAGAAGGCCCCTGCTCTCAATCACTGCTAAGCCAGAGGGCCCCAGAGTAGGTGTAGGCAGCCTCTCCTGCCTTCTGTGTCCTGTGAGGCGGTGGCTCTGCATGAAAAGCTAGGCTTCGCTGCCTTGTAACAGGAGGCTGGTGAGGCCCGGGGTTCAGGCGTGGGAGCCTCTGCGGGTGTCCCTAAAGGCTCCTCTAGGAATAGTCATCGGATGGTATGTACCTGGAATTGTGCTTCTGTCCATCAGGACATCTATTCAGGGACGTCCAGGACCCTCTCAGACATTACTGGTCTCCCAGTGTCACTCTTCCCTGCCCCCTCCTCCCTAATGAATTCTCCTGATGTAGAGAACCCCAACTGTGGCTGAGTTCAGCTCCTGTGCCCTGAGGATCTCCAGTACTTGAAAAATGCAAGCGGGTTTTCTCAGCAATTCTTCCCTGCAGTTGTCTACAGCTGAACAAGAGAAAGAAGCTGAGTCAGGGCCCGTTGACCACTGTCTGGAAAGATGCCCATCTCCTCAGCCCATCTCCCCCCTTGCCCCAGCTATAGGCCCCTCCCGTGGGGGGCAGCTGAGCCAGGCTTCGGCCGCAGGACCCTTCTACCTCCCAGCATCCCCAGCTGCTTCTTGGCTCCTGAGAGCCCAGAAGCCCCTGGCGTTAAGTGAACTTGCCTCCATGAGGCTTGGCTTTGTGACCTCTGCTGGTGGTGACCCAGCCCCCTCCCACATGAACAAAGTACATCTGGAACATGAACAGGGCCATTGTTTCGAGACAGCCTCTGAGCGGCAGACAAAGAAGGGCTTGTAAGGACATGGGGCCAGTCCTCTCCTCCCCAGACACCTCATTGTCCCCACCGAAGCGAATAGGTTCTATCTGAAGGGAATGACCATTTGGGCTGGGGTGTGGTCATGACCTTGAAGCCTACAGCCTCACAAACCTCCACCTTGGCTTTCCTGGTTCCCGCAGTGATGATGAAAAGCGTGATCTGAAATCTGTATTCACCAACCAACCATTTTCAGTTCCTTCTCTGGAAAGGGCTGAATTTTTATATAAACTTCTTTGCTGTGATTTCTAAAGATAACTTTTATGTTTCCCCAAAGGTGGTGATCAGTGGGAGAAACAGTACAAAGCACAGGAAAACATGCAGAACAAAAAATTCCACCACACAGGTGACCACCATTAAAGTGTTATTATGCGTTCTGTTCTGTTTGTTTTTTGTTTTAATCTGGGCCATCTCTGAACATTGTAGGGTTCACTATGGCAGCACAGGTTAAGGGAACTTTTTTCAAGAATATTAGATTATTGAATGTTGGAACAGGGAGGACTTTGAAATCATCCACCTGAATTCCTCTACTTAGGACTGAGGACCCAGGTCCAGGCCTCCTGGTTCAGTGTCCGCCCTTGGCTACTGCCGGTGTGCCCAGGTGGCTGTCTGCCTTCTTGAGGACATTGATGCAGGGGTTTTATGGCTGCCTCTTTTCCCCCCCAGTCAATGCTGCTGGCGTGGGCCAAGCTGAAGGAGAGGAGTTGGGAGGTGCGACCTCCTGGGTAGACCCGACAGAAAGTGGATTAAGTCTTTGCTGTTGAAAGTGTGATGCTTCATGGCTGCGGGTTCTTCCCAGCTTCTTTACATGCTGGCAAGTAACCTTCAGGTGCCCCTTGCTGAGACATGTCATTGGCACCCAACACTGGTTCTGATGCAGGGAGAGAAGTGTCTATTTCCTCCACCCCTGTCTTCTCAGGAAGGGCTGTGAGCCTCCCTACCTGATGTGAAGGATGGGCACTGTGGGTACAGGCCCAAAATCCAAACACTGGTTCTTGTCCCCACGCCACCATTTGCCCCTGTGTGACCATGACTAATCATTTCACCTTGCCTTACTTTCCTCATCTCTGTAAAATGGGAAATCCTTCGTGCCTATCCATTGGATATAGGTTGGAAGCACCTGACATAGTAAATGCAGTGTTAGCCATTATGGTAATGACTACTCTCCTTTCTTCTGCTTCTGAGCTTTGTCTTCTCCAGCTGTCAGCTTCCTCACACGGTATCCTGATGGCTTTTGGTAAATACCATGAGGCTGAGTGGAGTCACCCCGGAGTTTCCTGCCTGCCCCTGTCTCCCAGGAGTGAGCCTCCCGCTTTCCTTCTCAGCAGCCTCGGAGGGTCACTCCGCCCTGGGGAATCCTCCTTCCCTGTCAGCCCAGGCGTTCTTCTGGGTCCCTCCCCATCCACGGTTCCCTTTATGTCTCCCTTTCCCCCCCCTCCTTGACGTCCTTGTTCCGCCCCCATCAAACCTGTCTTGTGAAAGTCCGTCTCTCATCCTTTAGACTTCTGTGTGATTAGTCTCAAGTCGTTGCCTTCAAGACAGGAGATGCATTTAAGAAACTTCAGGAAGGAACCAAAACTCCTGATGTGTCTACACCACTCCCCAGTGTCCATTCTTGGTCTCCTTGATCACACTGCCCCCACCCTTTCCTCACTCTGCTGAAGTTGTCAGTGCTACCTCTTGACCCTGGCCAAAGGGTCTGGGCCACAGCCAGCCTGTCCTCTCCTTGCTTGGTTGTACCCCATGGGTGCATCACTGCTCCCCAAAGTGATGCGTCTTGCCTCTCCGGGCTCCCTGCTTGCCATGAGTTTCTGAGCTCCACCTTCCCCACAGCCCCCCCCCTCCCATAGCTGCTTTTCGTCTGGTGGTGATGGTTGGGGCCTGGGCCTCCTTTTGCACTCGGGGCTGCTCCTCCCTAATGTGGCCAGGCCCCACTTTCTCCAGCTCTAAAATAGAATAGTGCGCCAGCCTTTACTGTATTAGTGTGAGGAGGTAAACGAGCGTTTGGAAAGGTTTAGCAATAGTGGTCACTAAATGGCCCACCGTTATTAATAATACTAAAATTAGTAGTGACATCGGCTCACTCTGTCTCTCTCTCCTGGCTTCTGACCCAGACTGGATGCGAGCCCCATCTGTTTCCGCCCGGAAGTCTCGGCCTCCTTTAGTGTTGAGCAGCTGCCCTGGAGGAGATCTGGCCTCTCTGTGATTTTATCACTGTGCACACACCTCTCCTGCCCTCCACCACGGTAAATGTGTCCCTGCTGATAGGTTGGCCTCAGAAGCCACAGACGGATCAGGAGTGGGGCCCCTCCGTCTGGCCCTTCTGTAGGCAGCTGGTGACCAGGTCCTCGGGCATGGCTGTCTGTTGATGCGCTGTTAGCCAGCCCTGCATCACTGGGCGAGGGTGAGCTAGCTGAAAATGCAGTATGAACTGGGTCCAAATGTCGATGAGTGATCTCAGTGTTTCCTGGGGCCCACTGCTGGCCTTTCTGGGGCCTGCTCAGTACTGCAAATACCTCAGGCAGTGCCGGTCATTTCTTCTAGCTGATTTAGGCCTAAGTCTGGGTTCAAGAGACTTTTTTGCCCCCAGGCGTCCAGGAAGGAGGTGAGACCAGAGAAGCTGTCGCCCTGCTGGAAGGAGGCCAGCAGGGGAAGGGCTGGTGGGCAAGGGGAGGCCTGGTACACTGGTGCCTGGATGCCAAGCACCTTGGCTGCAGAAATAAATCTCCTCCCCTCCTGCAGGCTTGCTGAATGGCCAGCACCTTTGCCCAGTGCAAGAGAGTGCGTGTGGTGAACTTCGGGGAGGGATCGTGAACCTGAGGCGCCCTGCTCCGGGCCCTGCAGTGGGTGTGCTGGTGCTGCACTGGGCGTGTTCTGGTGAGTGCCTGGCAGAGGACAGGAAGCGGTGGGGCCCGGGCGAGACCCGGCAGGCACAAAGCCTTTGGCCAGGAGTCTCTAACACCTGTGGTAAGCAGGACAAATTGTGTTGCCACCAGATCATGCCCTTGTGATCTGAGGGCCTTGCAGAGCTTACTACAGAGACAGCCATGTTGTTTTGCAAAACTCGGAATCGCCCCAAATACCAATTCCTGGTTGCAGAAGCCCTCCTGCTGCCATGTGGATAACTTCTGGGAAGTGAAGGCGCCTAAATGAGTTCTGAGGTGAGGACCTGGGGCAGAGAGAGGTCACTTGGGGCAGAAGTGCAATGTATTGGCCTTGGGTCTCTGATGAAATGAATCCATTGCCAGAAGGCGTTCACCCAGTGTCCATTGGCTTATCTCTCTTCAGGAAGGAAGCAGAGAGCCTGTGTGGCCAGAGTGTCCCCTGGTCCCGAGCATGGGCTGCTCTTTCTGTCTCTCCACGGGAGATGATGGATAGGGCATTCCACTTGGATGCCTGTGGCCTCTCTCAAAAGCCTACCACCAGCATCAGAGGTCGGGAGAAAGAGCAGGGATTTTGGATTAGGCAGCTGGGGTTGCTGGATTTGCCTAACGGTGGGGCCTTGGCTGGTCCCCAGCCCTCTCCTGAGCCCTGGAGCACTCGCCGTCTTCCCTGCCCCGAGGACACAGTACCTTGAGTTGGTACTCAGTCATCTTAACCCAGACAGTAAGCTTCTGAGCAGACTCACGCAGCCTGGCCATCCCCAGCCCAGCACCTTCCTCTTGCTGTCTTGGCCTCCTCATGGCACCCACTATGTGTGGACAGCACTCCTGAGGCCCAAGCAGCCCAGACCAGCCTAGTGAGTGTTCCCCAGAGCAGTGCGTTGTGCTCCAGTGAGCCCGAGGGTGGGAGGGACACTGGAGGGTGGGCAGGGCTGCAGGTGGACGCCGGTTGTGGTGACAGCGATGTGACACCTGTGCAGAAGGAAGCCTACAATGAAGAGCTGACAATCCGTGCTGCACGCGGATTCAGGGAAAAACCAGTAACAGCAACGCAGCTGACAGCCTCCTGAGTTACTGGCACATAATCTACTGTGGTGTTACGGATGTGAGTATTAGCCCATCTTATAGATGATGAAACCAAGGCTCAGAGGGGAAGTAAGGAGATTTACCTGAAGGCGCATAAGCAGATGGAGCTGAGATGCAAATCCCATCCATCCTTCTGTCCACTCTGCCGTGGTGGGACATTAATAGGAAGCCGGGCCTGGAGACCAGCGACTGGCAAGACTGGAAGTGAGGCGTCGTCACCCCTGCCCTTCTCTCCTGGTTTCCCTGGGCAGCCAACCAAGGGTGCTCTCTTTCTGGGTAGGAGCCACCGGGCAGCTGGTGGACCACCCAGGAAGCGTGCATCCACCTGGGTGCCAGCACCAGGAGACCCAGAGCCTTTCGCGGGGAGGAAGTGCCATCAGTTTGTGGACATGGTGAAGGGAAGTCACTAGCTGAAGTAGAATATGTAGAAATGGGGCCGGGGAGCCCAGGGTTCAGGGGAGGAGCGAGGCGGGCATGGTTTTGGGGAGTGGTAGATGGAGTCCTGTGAACAGTAGTGTGCCGATCTGATTCTGCTCTGGGAGCAGATAGGAGTCCCCTGAGCCAGGTACTGTGGGTGGGGTGGCAGGAGCCGCCCCTGGCTCCCAGCCTTGAGCCAGCTGGCGGGCCGTGGGGACCCGGCTCGGCATATTGTGGGGTGCCTGCTCTTTGAGGTCTGGGAGGCTCTGGAGAAGCGGCTCCTCCCACACAAGCGCAGGAATGAAGAGGCTGTGGCCTGGGTGATGCTGGATGATGCTGGATGCCGTGGAGAGTGGCAGGCTGGGGGACGGCCCGGTGGGAGAAGCTTGTCAGGGTCTCTCTCACCTCCAAGGCCTGAGTGCTCCCGCTTGTCCCATGTCCACCTTGGGAGCCCTGGGCCGAGTCCCAGTCCCAGAATGAACCCCCCCAAGCCCCTCTGTTTCCCCAAATCATGGCCTGAGTCTCCTACTTCCTCTCTTAGCTCGCCTCAGCCCTTCCTGGCACATTTTGCCTCCAAGCAACATAGCTTACTTCCAGTCTGTCTCAATCATTCAGTCTGGATGTCCCTTAGCTCCAGTGGGTACCAGAATCTGTCCCTAACCCTCTGGGGACACCCGATATTCAAGGAAGGCATAGCTCTCTTTCAGGAGACTTGCCACCCTTCAAAGACACTTGACCTTTTCAGTCCAGTTTCAGCCGGCGTGAGCCATATTCTCCTTGTTAGAATCTCATGAGTTTTATATCTTTAAGTTTATCTCCCTCCAGAAGGGCAAGGCTGGTCCCAGGCCTTCCTGGTTGAGCCTCAGCCTGGGGATTTCACAGCCGAGGGGCGGAACCATAGCAGGAGAAACACAGGATGCTTTGTTCAGCCCAGCCAGCCCTGGTTTGATAGCCCAGCTTTCTGGGCCACCCTGCAATCTACACCTTGAGGAGTAAAGGGCCAGCTGTCCCCTGAAGGACCCGACCCCGTCCCCGCCCTCAGGGACCCGGCCACCAGTGGTCAGCGACCACGCCAGCCCAGCCCATCTGTGTGCCTCACCCCTATGTATTCCTGCGTCACTTGGCTCCCCAGGTGGGGGCACTTTCTCCCCCTTTGCTGCACATCTAGTTTCTGAGCAAGGTCCCCCCAGGTGATGCTGGGACCTGGGCTGAGGCCTGGGCAGTGGCAGTATCCACCAGCTGGGGCGGGCTTTTCCATCGTCTGCCCACCTGTCACAGCCCCCACAGTTCCCATGGTGTCATTAGGTCAGCATTCCAGGCCTTTTCATGCTGGGGGCTCCTTACCACCAACTCCATCAAATGGAACCTGGCTATTCCATCTTAGAGGTAAACTCTCTTAGTCCAAAAGTAAACAGGGCAAATTTTTTTTTTAATTATTTTTTAATGTTTATTTATTTTTTAGAGAGAGACAGAGCATAAGGCTGGAAGGGACCCGAAGAGAAAAGACACAGAATCAACCCAGGCTCAGGCTCTGAACTGGCTCAGCACAGAGCCCGATGTGGGAACTCAAACCCCGCGAACTGTGAGATTGTGACCTGAGCCAAAGTCTGAGGGGCTTAACCAAATGAATCACCCGGGTGCCCCTAGACTTGGGAAGGAGAATTTAAGTCTCATGGCGGCTGGCTGTCCTCTTGGTAGGCTTTTTTGGAAGAAAGAACATTTGTCACATGAAATCTCTCCCGTCGTCCACTTCAGTTTCGTTCTGTCCTCAACCTTAGACACAGACTAACAGCCAGCCTGACTCTTGGAGCCCTCGCTTGTTCTGTGACAAGGAGCACCCCGGGTTGGGTTCACTTGGGGAGCTGCCCAGGACACTTTCCTCCCGTCCTGCAAGCTCAGCCCAGCCCACTGGTGGAGTGGCGCGCCACTCTGCTCCCTGGCCACTGGGCCTGCCTCGTCCCACCTCCTGGTTCCTGCTGCTCTTTTCTGTGTCCCTTGGAGGCAGGAAACCCATCACAGAGCCCTCAAGCCAGGATGCAGCCAGCGCCAGAAGGGTCTGGTGGGAAGCTCTGCCCCCCTGGCTGTATTTCCAACATCAGCAGCCTGTTTGATTTGGATCAAACCCCAGGTTTCAAATTAATCATGAATTCTTTGGTTCTCTTTGCGTTGGAGTCACCAAAATACTTAATTTCAGAGCCAGACCATCTTTTTCTTTTTTTTCTTTTTTTCTCTTTTCTTTTCTTTTCTTTTCTTCTTTTAAGTTTATTTATTTATTTATTTTGAGAGAGAGAGTGCACATGAGAGGAAAGGACAGAGAGAGAGGGAGAGAGAGAGCATCCCAAGCAGGCTCTGTGTTGTCAGCACAAAGCCCTACACAGGGCTCAAACTCACACCATGAGATCCAGGACCGGCTGAAATTAAGTCAAATGCTTATCAACTGGAGCCACCCAGGTGCCTCACCCTTTTTTTTGGGGTAGAGTTTATTTACAGGCCAGACCATCTTGAGCCACAAAATGGATCAAGTTCTGACCCAGGACAAGCTGGCTTTGTTACCAAGTACCTGGTTGGGGGTCCAGACCTACCCTAGACTTCTACCTTTAAAAAAAATTTTTTTTAACATTTATTTATTTTGATAGAGAGAGAGAGAGAGAGACAGAGGCACAGCAGGAGGGGCAGAGAGACACAGAATCTGAAGAGCAGGCTCCAGGCTCTGAGCTGTGGCTGGGGAGCCAGGCATGGGGCTCGGGCTCATGAACCACAAGATCATGACCTGAGGCAGTCTTAACTGCCTGAGCCACCCGGGTGCCCCTGAACTTCTACCTTTAAGAAGGACATGGCTTTGCTAGATGCTTGGGTTGCTTGTGGTGGGCCCAGCTTGTTTGAAAGGTGATAAGATCATCAAAGTATGTGGAATTCAACTTCTGGGAAATTGTGATGTTGGTCAAAGTGATTAATGACCATGTGCACACTCACTTTTTTATTGAGGGTATAAAGTAGTAGGGAAGGCATCCTGGAACAACCTACCACTCTGGGTCAAGTGATCTAATGACTTGTACAGCTTAAAATTAAAGGATACCACCTTCCTACTGTGCCGTCCGGACCTTCCCCAGCACAGGAAAAGACCCAGTCTCCCACAGTGGGGGGGTGAGGCTGGCACTGTTCAAGGGACCGGAGACATTCCTTTATCCCCCTTCTGGAGATTTGGAATGGTCTTAGCCTTTTGTGTGCTTTTTCCTGGCTCTGCAGCAATCCCCAGCAAGTTATTGTCTTGGTGGCTGATGGAAGTGCCTTCCTCCCAGCCCCTCAGGCGGGAAGCAAGGATGGGTCTGTGCCTTTTTTGCTGTCTGGGCTGGTTGGTGGCAGAGATGGGCAGGCGTTTGCTTGCTTTTTCCTGACCTTGGCTCTGCTCCCCTTTCTGTGCAGGTGAGCATGAGGCCTGCAGTGCCTTCTCTCCACACACCAAGCCTTGGATCCCAGTGCTTAAACTCTGGGGGGCACTGATCTGGGCTGGATCTAGGGACCATCAGGTGGTAACACAGGGTGAGGCTAGAGGTTACTGCAGAGGGAGGAAGAGGGTTGTGTGCAACAGTTCAGCGACAGTGAGGACTGGGGAAGCAACTTGACCTGGTCTTGTGACCCCATGCCCCGCGTTATGTCCGCCTTATGGCTCACTTGCTACCCAGTGGGAAAGGGGAGAAGCAGAAAATCACTGGGAAGCTGATTTTCTAGATCCGCGTTATATAATATTTTTTAAGATGTAGGTGTTCTGGGTGCCAGAGAAACCTCCACAAGAGACAGAGTTCCTGAGGCCACAGAAGTTGGTGGAGAGGTCCCAGATTAAGCGACAGGACCTTTGATTCTGGGTTTGGCCCTGTAAACACCTGCTGTCGCCCCTGACTTTCCTCTCCTGAGCCTTGGGTTTTCTTGAAAAATGAAGTTAGAATTGAAGTGCTAGATGGCTGAGTGGGACAGTTAGAATCTGTGACGCAATGGTTGGGTCCTCGGGCAGCCGATGGCCCTGAGAGACAGTTGATCAGCTGGGGAGTAAGGCATGCGAGGGCAATGCGCAGAGGTCTGCCCTCAGGCTCCAGCCACTTTGCAGTGAGTCCAGCTTGTGCCGGATGTGAGGGTAGGGAGGAGTCCCCAAGCTCCCAGAGCCCTTCTGAAGCTTGCCCCCCTATGGCCTGCTATGCATCTCTCTGCTCACTTAGAGGAGAGCTCGGGGTGGTTAGACCCTGAGCACTGCCAGTAATAAACAGGTCAGAGCCAGGGGATCCCCAGAGAGAGAGAAACAATGCGGGAACTGGGTGGCAGTTGCAGCTCTCTGCCCTCAGAGGGAAGCAGAACTTCCCGGCAGGGAAGTGGAGGTGGGGGGACAGGGCAGCCCGAGGAGGCCTTTAAAGCTGGCGCCAGTGGTTTTCAGCCCGCGTGGCTCTGTTGTTCACCAAACAGTGATCTTATGATAACTTCTCCGTCCCCAGACCTCCCTGAGAATGCTGGGAGCTACCTGGAGCCCTTGGTCGACAATAGGCCTCCTCAGAGACACTTCCAATCAGAGCAGGATGTGAACAGGTGAGCGCCAAGCTGCTGTGGTGAAAAGAGGCTGGCCTCAATGTAAGTGCCTCGCCCCCCCACTTTCCTTTCCTCTGGGCCCTGCCTTCTCGCTCCTACCTTTCAGAATATGCTTACAGCCCCACTCATTGGTGGGGCCCCAGTCAGGCCCGTCAGGTGACACTGACCGTCTGTGATAGGCAGCCATCAGTTTCTCTGTCCAGCCTGCCTCCCAGGTGTTGCTGGAGTGAACCTGGCACTCCTGATAGTGCTTGTGTATAAGTGCCCCATGGGGCCGGGCCGAGACAGCACCCCTATTTTACAGCTAAGGGAAGACGAGGGGCCAGGCCTGCATCTGGCTGGAGGCTGGGAGGTAGACCAGCAGTCTCTGACTCCACTCTTACCATAGCACTTAGTTTCTTTCTTTTCTTTTCTTTCTTTCTTTCTTTCTTTCTTTCTTTCTTTTTTAATTTTTTTTTGTTTGTTTATTTTCAAGAGACCAGAGTGCAGGCTGAGGGCCGGCCCAGGAGAGGAGGACAAAGTCCCAAACGGGCTCCAGGCTCCAAGGCTGTCAGCACAGGCCTGATCGCGGGGCTCAAACCCACCAACTGTGGGGATCATGATATGTGCGGTGGACGGCAACGGCCTGGGCCACCCAGGCATCCCCATAGCGCAGTTTCTTGATTAAAGCTTGCAAATTCTGGAAGCTTCCTACGGCCCTCACAGCATACGCGGTGTCTTCCCTCTGCTTCCCTTTTTTAGAGCACAGTCTGCGTTTCTCAATAGTGAGAACTCCCATGTCTCCCTCTTCTTCTCCTCCTCCCACTAGGCCAGGGAGTCTGTACGGAAGTGGTGGGCAGGCAGACCGCCCCTTTCTCCTCCTTCCCAGCTCCCAGCCTTTGCCCACATACCTGGCAGATCTCCTCCCTTGCCCTCCCTTGATGGAGGCCTTTGTCCCAGAGCCATGTCTCAGGGACACCCTGGCTAGGCCCATTGGCCCTCTCCTCCACGACCCTGAATAAAGCTGAGCATGTTGGCGGCCTGTTTTATACTGAATCCAGCAGTGAGGAATTGGACACAGAGGGGGGATGCAATGCAGCCAGCAGCATATGAACCCCTTGCCTTCTCCCGCAGGTGACCACCTCCAGCCTGGGCCAGGGGAGCAGTGCTGTGGGGAAAGCCTGTTGACCGTGACCCTGGCAGTGCCCCCTACCAGACTGTGGAGGTCAGGGCACTGCAGCCAGTGCTGCAGGCGCTCAACGGAGCTATCTTCAGGCCAGAGGTGCCTCTCATGAGGGGTCTGCCCCTGCTCATCTTCTTCAGCTCAGCCTGGCCCCAATCCTCGTGCTGCCCACCATGATTGGTGAGGAGGGGTTCGTAGGGCTGGCCTGTGCCCTTGAAGCAGGGGCGAGTGTGTGTGTGGCACGGGACTGGGGCGGGGCCCGGTGGTCTCCCCTGGCATTGAGCTCCATGGACCTTTGCCTCCTGTAGCCCCTCTCTGCCCCTCAGGGCATTTCTGGATCTGCAGCACACAGTGGGGGG